TGTCGGTGTCAACCCAAAAATCGACCTCTACACGAAGTCGAAGCGGACCTTCAAAAGCGCATAGGAAGTATCATTCTCAAGATGGAGCCTGATATACAACCACCACTAGAGGCTCAGTCACCCATGTTTTCAACTGGGGCTGATCGTCGCCGCAATTCAATAAGAAGCAGGTTCTTCACACTAGACAATACCCTCCTGGTGGGCCTTGCTGATGGTCTTCCAGCTATAGCGTTGTCTCAGACGTTGAAATGGCCCGCAACGAGGTGCGTCCAGATGCCGGCGAAGCTTATGGAACAATGAACATAACTATCTATACTAGATATATGATGGACCGATATCAGAGAGTATCCCTTCCAGTGTTGTTTCCTTTTCCCACCGTCGGAATCGCAAGGATTCCACCACAAGCTTCACCTATTTCCAGGAAGATCAGGAACACCTGGACTGGCCAAACGAAGATACCATAGATGCTGAAAGTGACGTTGACAACTTATCTGATATTGAGACGAACGAGTCAATTAGATCCTCTAAACGTCCGTCCTTTTCTAGAGACTCTGTTCAAGACCCCCTTCTACGAAGGTCTCTATCAGCTTCGTCGCGTGATTATTGCCATAGCGACGATCAAAGGGTAAGCCAAAAGGTTCACATCGTTTCGGAAGACTTGACTATCGTGATTGCGGGCTTTTCGACGAGTCCTACCGGTCTGCTATTGTATTATCTATCTTGCCTGTTGTCGCTCGGGGTTTTCTATCTCCTATTTCGTTGGTTTCCAAAGTACCGAATCCGTTTGATGGGAATGCCAACACCTCTTCAAACCTGTCAATGGGTTGTGATTGAGGTAAGCAATGTTACATATGGAACTATAAAAACTTATCGCTGAACTGGGCCCAGGATCAATGGAATCAACTTGACATTCATACGGTCCATACTGAAGTATACGGTCATCCTCTCTCCACAATCTTCAGTCCTGACTACCAGTCGTATGATGAGGACAATGACCCAACAATCTATCAATTACGGTACATTGATTACAGATATCATCGGCTTATTTACCACCCAGCCGATGACCAATTTTGCCAAATCGGTGGCTGGAAAGACCCTTCCTGGACGAACGCGAAAGGGATGAGAGCTGGACTGGATGCCGATGACCGTGATAGCCGTGAACAGGTGTTTGGCAAGAATCTCATTGATATTCAGCGGAAATCTGTTTTCCAACTTCTTATGGATGAGGTACCTGTTCACCGACGTTCAATGTTGGATTGGCATGCTCACTGTTCCAGGCTTTCCACCCATTCTATATCTTCCAACTTGCTAGCCTTGTCCTCTGGTCGCTTGACCAGTATTACTATTATGCTGTCTGCATCTTTTCCATCTCTGTGATAAGTATAAGTGCTACTATAATTGAAACCAAAGCAGTATGCTTTTCTTGCCAAACCAATGTGCTGGTGTGCTAACTCTATCTAGACAATGAACCGCTTAAGACATATTTCACTGTTTGAGTGCGATATCCGTGTGCTTAGGAATGGGTTCTGTAAGCCAAACTTCTAAGATCTAACCATCCTGATGCAGCATTAACGTTCCTTTCTCCAAACAGGGAGATCTGTCCCCTCTCGGGAGCTTGTTCCAGGTGATGTTTACGAATTTTCTGACCCCTCCCTGAACTATGTCCCTTGTGATTGTATACTGTTATCCGGTGATTGTATTGTGAATGAAAGCATGCTTACAGGTTCGAGTATCGTCTCCCAAGGTCTTGATGAGAATCTAATGGAGGTGCAGGTGAATCTGTCCCTGTTTCTAAAGTCCCACTGACAGACGATGCTCTGAAATACCTGAATTTGAGCGCACCCTCAATCCACCCCGCTCTTGCAAGACATTTCTTGTTCAGCGGTACGAAAGTAATTCGAGCACGTCGTCCCCAAGGCGTTGATGATGACGAAGCTATTGCTTTGGCAGTCGTTGTGCGAACCGGTTTCCTGACCACGAAAGGGGCCCTTGTTCGATCGATGCTCTTCCCAAAGCCTTCCGGCTTTAGCTTTTACCGGGACTCATTCCGATATATATCTGTTATGGCCATCATAGCGATTTTAGGTTTCGTGGCCTCGTTTGTCAATTTCATCCGCCTCGGTGTAAGCATAGCTTGGATGCCAAGAAATAATTCCTGTAACTGACTAGATACAGCTTTCATGGCATCTGATCATCGTTAGGGCCCTCGACCTGATCACAATCGTTGTGCCTCCGGCTTTGCCGGCCACGCTGAGCATTGGAACCAACTTCGCCCTCTCGCGACTTAAGGCACATAAAATATATTGCATCAGTCCACAAAGGTTTGAAAACACACCAAGTCCTAAAGGAGACTATGTTAAGCTTTTCAACAGGGTCAATGTAGGAGGCAAGTTAGATGTGATCTGTTTCGATAAGACAGGTACTCTCACGGAAGATGGACTGGATGTACTGGGAGTGCGGATCGTGGACCACAATAGAAGGTTTATATGCGTGCACACTACACTTCATACAATTGCTTATCAGTTCGCAGGTTCTCCGACTTGCTCCCTAAGCTGTGTCTCGCGTCTCCGACATCATCATATACAAATAGCATTCAAGATATGAGTAGGTACAACAACACCCTTTACACCATGGCAACATGCCACTCTCTGAGAATTGTGGATGGCGAACTTCTTGGGGACCCCCTAGATGTCAAAATGTTTCAGTTCACCGGTTGGTCCTTCGAAGAAGGTGGGAGCCATGCTGAAGAAGCGGATTCCGAGGCGATATTACCGTCGATTGCGAGACCACCTGTCAGTGAAAACCCTACCAGTGCTTGTCAGCGAAATAAAATAGAGGTCTGTACGCCACTTTGATGCTTATAAATGACAAATTGTTCGAATCTGACTATGCAAACCTAGGCACCCCTAGAACTCGGCATTTTGCGTGCCTTTGAATTCGTGTCACATCTCCGTCGAGCAAGTGTTATTGTACGCCAGTATGGTGACACTGGTGCCAGCACTTTCGTGAAAGGTGCACCAGAAAGTGTGAAGGCCATATGTCTTCCAAGCAGCTGTAAGGTTGCACCTACTTAGGTTCCAGTTCGAAGCTGATGCATGACCATGTAGTGCCTCACGATTTTGATGAGCTCCTGAGTAACTATACCCACAAGGGATATCGTGTCATCGCTTGTGCGGCGAGATATGAACCAAAATTAAGCTGGATGAGAGTCCAGAAAATGTCCCGTGCTGATGCTGAATGTGATCTGGAGTTTCTTGGCTTTATCATTTTCGAAAACAAACTGAAGCCAAACACGGCTGAAACTATTGCTGAGCTGAATAAAGCAGGGATACGCAACATAATGTGTACAGGTGATAACATATTGACTGCAGTAAGTGTTGCTCGCGAATGCGGACTAATTAGTGGAGATGAACAATGCTTTGTTCCTCGCTTCGTACAAGGTAAGCTGTCCTCGCAAGGCGTCATGGCTATTGTTAATCTTGCACCAGGTCATTCTCCTCAACATGCGTCCGATGACTGTCTTTGCTGGGAAAGTGTAGACAATCCCGCACTGAAGCTTAACCCGAGTACTCTTATGGTATGAAGTTTCATTCATAAGAAAGAGTGGGCAGGGCTAACGGCGTGAAGCGTTCGGTGGATTCGACGGCTGTAGACTTATCTATACCAGGCAATGCCTGTAGCCTCAGCCATTACACTCTTGCCATCAGTGGCGAGATGTTTAGGTGGATCGTGGACTTTGGGAGCGAGTTGCTTATCAAAAGGGTGTGTATACCGGCATGGGTCTACGAGTAGATTTGGCTTTTTGTTGCGACATTGTTTTTGCTTTCATATTAACACTGTCTGCAGGTACTTGTGCGTGGAAAAGTGTTCGCGAGAATGTCACCTGATGAGAAACATGAACTAGTGGAGAAGCTTCAATCCCTAGACTATTGCTGTGGCTTTTGCGGCGACGGTGCCAATGACTGTGGTGCATTAAAAGCCGCTGATGTCGGTGTTTCCCTATCAGACGCCGAAGCTTCAGTTGCTGCTCCATTCACCAGCCGCCGCTTTGACATATCGTGTGTTCCGACGCTGATCAGGTACCAAACATTCGAATTGAAATATCATACGTTGCATTGGATGTCTAACAAGGAAACAGGGAAGGCCGAGGTGCCTTGGTCACAAGCTTTTGCTGCTTCAAGTACATGAGCCTATATTCAGCAATTCAGTTTTCAACTGTCAGTTTCTTATACGCATCAGCGTCAAATCTTGGTGACTTCCAGGTGAATCTCAAGGTTCCTGAGAGACAATATATAACCTGCTAACATAGCATGAAGTTTCTTTATATCGACTTATGCCTCATATTACCGATAGCAATTTTTAGTATGTGTCTTAGATGGATCAAGGATGTCAACTACCTTGTGAATTTTAGACTGACTCTGCTCACCAGTGGGATGGACCAAGCCAAACCCTGTATTATCGCGGAAACGACCCACTGCTGATCTTGTATCACGCAAAGTCTTAATCCCGCTGCTAGGCCAAATAACGATATGCATTTTGACTCAATTAATTGCATTCGAGACTGTGAAATCGCAACCATGGTGGGTAACTTGGCTTTTCTCAGCTCAAGCTTGCTTTCATGACAACCACTGACCTTCTTAGGTTTCAACCCCCTCAGCTAGATCTGGAGGAAAGCAACATTGAGAACTCCGAGAACACCGTTCTGTTTCTGCTTTCCTGCTTTCAGTACATCCTGTCAAGTGCTGTCCTTAGCGTCGGACCGCCATTCAGAAAACCGATGAGCTCTAACAGTCAGTCCCCCCAAGCATGTGTGGTCGGCCATGTCACTAACAGAGTCTAGAACCATTCCTCTCTATGATAATTGTGGATTTGATGATCTCCTGCTACATGCTGTTTACACCCTCACAATGGCTGATGCGGGTCATCCAATTGACGTACCTGCCGGAAAGTTTCGCGTGGTGGTTGCTGATACTTGCTGCCTTGAGCTTTTTGTTCTCTTGGTTGGCAGAGAGGAATCTCTTTCCTAGATTGGCTCATTTGCTAGGGCGCATGTACACAGCCTTGCGACCAGGCCACCCCAAAAAGCGTCGCCAGTACAAGGTACTACTCGAGGAAATGCAAGGGTAGATGGAATTCCACTTTTGCACATATCCTATTCTTCAGATATGATCGTCGTCATTCTGACTTGAAAGTTTGAGTGGATGGTTCCTTTAATGACGACAGAAAGCGAGAACCTTTGTGTTACAACTCGATTGAGATATCTGATGTAGTCCTCAAGAAAATCAACTGTCTTCCAATCTCAACAAGCGAGACCGTACTCAGGTCTGAGAATATTCGGCAATCAATGGTCCCAAGGATGCTTCCAACCCAACAAAGCAGGACCGTCTTTCTTCGCCCTGTACATCAGCTATAGATCCGCAAAAAGGGAATGGTTAGCACTATTCGCCATATAATCGCGTGAGATTCGTACAAAGAACCACATGCTAGCTCCCAATGCAGTCGCGGTGAAACGATAGAGAGGTCGAGCGGGATGAATATGAATTGGGTGGTTTGCAGCCATATCTGTACATGACAAGTCAGTCCCAGACGATAAAAGGATTAGAAAATAGGCGATAGAAAATTCGAGGTGCATACTTTTCTGCCGTTTAAGGACTTATGTATCAGGACTGATGGATTGAAGAAAGGTAAATCAATAGCAGTGAGGGATCGGTACGGACTAGATTAGAAGCATTACATAATCACGTGATACCAAGAATTCTGCTCCAGGTAACAGCCGGCACGGTTTGAAGTCATGGACAATCTATCTTCCTTCGTACCATCTCAGCTAATGAGATCATGACCGTCATCCAGTAAAATCATACATTGAATTATCAGAGCACTATGATAGCTCTGGCTCTCGCACGAGTGAACGGATCGCGTCCCATACTACCTTGAAAACAACAGTCTTCTACAGTCTTCCTGCTATCAACCTGATATTGTTAGGTATTCACAGGTTTTTCTTTTGATACAAGCCATATATTTATTTGGCCATCACACAACGGTTTCTCGAGACGTGTGACTCCCAACCGAGCTCTTTTACTCTAGAAGAATTGCAGTGGTCAAGGATCCGCGCGACGTTCGGCTTTGCCTTGACGCTAACAAATCATACCTTGTATTGCAACTTGGTTCAAGCATTATATCAGGGAGATAGAGCCTCACACTTGTCCCGATCTCGCACGGTTGGCGCCATCATCCACATATATGATCACTTTGGTGAGGAGAGTGGGTAGAAAATGGTCATAGTATCTCTCGAGAGAGACAGCAATGGCAACAACCGATTCCATGGGTGCACTAGCATACGTGAGTTTGAATTTTTGGGTAAGCTTGGTGAGGGTACTTTTGGGTGGGTTTCAGAAAGCCTGTACAACAATGTGTTCTCAAACTGAATGTCTACAGTGAGGTCTACAAAGCGAGATCGAAAAAGGACAATGCTGTTGTTGCTCTCAAAAAGATACTCATGCATAATGAGAGAGACGGGGTAAGATGACCGATTGGGATCACCGCGTTAGTAGATGCTGATTGATGCCCTCGAAGTTCCCCATTACCGCACTTCGTGAAATCAAACTTCTGAAGATGCTATCTCACACTAATATCTTAAATCTTAAGGAAATGGCAGTCGAACGGAGTAAAGGTAAGTAGAACTTCCTACCGCAAAGTGGAACGTGCTTATACCAGCACAGGGGAAGGACGTAAAAAGCCAAGCATGTACATGGTAACACCATATATGGAACACGATCTCTCAGGCCTTCTGGAGAATCCTGCTGTTCAGTTCACTGAAGCTCAAATCAAGTGTTATATGCTTCAACTTCTTGAAGGCCTTAGATATTTACATGAGGTACTAGTTCTCGAGAACTACTTAGATCTTTGCCCTAACTTGTTATAGAATCGTATATTACATCGAGACATGAAGGGTCGGTGAATCATCAAGCAGCAATACAGCCTCTCCGACTAACCACCTGATAGCTGCCAACCTACTTATTAGCAATAGAGGCATACTTCAAATTGCTGATTTCGGATTGGCCCGACCATATGAAGAGGCCCCTCCTCAGCCTGGGCGAGGCGGTGGAGAAGCACGAAGGGATTATACTACACTCGTTGTGACTCGATGGTATCGCCCCCCCGAACTGCTTCTTCAACTCCGGCGTTATACGACAGCTATCGACATGTGGGGCGTTGGGTAAGTAAATTATCCCGATCTTCGTGGTGATGTTAGTCTGACACTCGCAGATGCGTCTTTGGGGAAATGTTCAAAGGAAAGCCGATTCTTGCCGGGAATAGCGACCTCAACCAGGCGCAGATGATTTTCAGTCTTGTAGGCTCGCCTACAGAGGAGACTATGCCAGGGTGGTCTTCACTACCAGGGTGTGAGGGAGTGAAGAATTTTGGTAACAGACCGGGTAATTTACGTGAAGTATTCAAAGAGTATCGTCCACCCTCCGAAAAGACCAGGTGAATGGGAAACTTCGAATATATGCCTAACCTCTTCTCAGGCAAAGCCCTATAGCGATATCCTTGCTTAGTGAGCTTTTAAAGCTCGACTGGCGGAAACGGATCAATGCTATCGATGCTTTGAAACATCCTTACTTTTCTAGCCCACCACTACCGGCACGACCTGGAGAGTTACCTTCTTTTGAAGACTCCCATGAGCTTGATAGGAGAAGATTTCGTGGGCAAAAGGCACCCATGCCACCGGCACCTGCAGGGGGTGCTGTAGGGATTGGTGGCCCGAACGGAAGTTGGGCAGGTGGCTCAGGGAACAGAACAGGCGTCGAAGGTCGAAATAGTCGTCTTCCAAGCGCAGCCCGTGGTACTTGGAACAACGGGGTTCAGGGAGTCCCTCCACAGCGCTCTTATGACAATCGTAACTGCGAATTGCACGCAGCTCGATCGAGGACAGGTGGGGAGGATCTCAGCCAAGGATCCTGGCATAGAGGGGGGTTGCCACCTCGTCCGCCAACGTCAAATCACCAGATGTGGTCTTCCGGTAGCATAGGAAGATTGGCACGAGACAGAAGCCACCAGGCTCGCGGGCGGTCTGAAGGGAACCTAGACTCCTACATTCCAAGCTATGCTGGCGGAGGCGAACGTCCTTGGGAGAGAGACCACAGTCGGGGCTACAATACGGATCGGCGTGACATCAACAATAGTGACTCGGCCTACCAACCTGTGCGAAGAGACTTTTCGCGAGAAAATCTGACAAGACGAAGGAGCCGTAGCCCCTGCTCTAGGGAAGGTGGTCGTGATGCAGCTAGGACAATCCATCGCAGGTGATTCGGTTTCACCCGTGCCACCACGACCCTGCAATCGCTAATTGTCGGATACCTTGTCATTGACTGATCGCATAAATCACAACGCCATTCATTCTTTGGACTGGAAGCATGTGGGCTTAGAATTAGTAGCAGACATAACAAAGTATTTTGGCATCAATTCTATAACAGCATGTGTTCAAAGAAAGGCTCAAGTGATTCTATCAGTTTCTCGTTCACTCTAGCGAGAAAGATAGCTAATAACGGAAGAAAGTAGTATTACTAATAGAAATAGAAATATAAAGTATAAAGGAGCAGCGGTGTTGAATATTCTGCCGACAGGCTAGCATTGTAGACTAACTTGTTTTCTCATGTCCCAAGCGCATGAGGAAATCTTGAGTCGGAGTAATAGAGCCGTAGATAGCTCGCTAGCGTATCACGGGTTCGAATCAAGTTTAAGGGGAAAATGTACTGACAGCTTCATTGAACGAGTGCCGTTGAAGGACCTCTGCCGCATAAAAATGAACTAGGTTCGCAACTAATTTTGTGATTCCCTTCCGTTTCTAGATCCTTTCGGAGAATGGGTAGTGACCTGTCCACCTATACCTTCTAGTCATAGGTATAAGCACAAGAGAGGGGCGCTTTAATACAAGATGCGCGTCATAATTCGAGCTAGAGTAAATGATCAGTCAGGAAAGTCATAAGGTGATATCGAAGAAAGAGATTTCGTACATCCGAGGCTTTCAAGTCTCTCGTACAAGTCCTTGATTGTCATGTTGTCGACACTGCTGATATCGGCCATCAAATATGCCACCTAATATAGTCAGCTTCGCACTGCTTAGACATGTCAATGCATAACGACATACATCACCTCTGCTATCAGTCATTTGCTTGTCAACATTGTGATCACCAAGAATCTCATTGACTGGAAGCCATCAGCAAAGCACACATTATTCCTATTTCGTAGAAAGAAGCCTACCTTTTCGCAAAACACCCGGAACGTTCTGATGAATGAAGATGACCTATTCCAAAGAATTAGCCATTATTCAAAGTTGAAAACTTTGTTCCTGTACTCACTCGGGCATGGTTGGGTTCATCCATCGTCAGGGACCGCAGAGCAACCTCCGGCAGGTTTACGGCCCCCAGTGTTGTGCCCTCATTAACATATCTCACCAAGGCTTCTGCCACCTCAACGCCAATCGCACGCTGCGCCTCCTCTGTGCTACCGCCAATATGTGGCGTGAGGATCAAATTCTTGAGACCCCTAAGATCCGTTGCCCAGTCATTGAGGCTTTGGTTGAAATAATCACCATTTCCGGCTGGCTCATTGGGATAGACATCGAGAGCGGCACCCGCCACTTTGCCGGACCGCATTGCATGGATTAGAGCAGGAATGTCCACGACACTTCCCCGACTGGCATTTATCAGATAACTGCCAGGCTTCATTTGCTCAAACTGGGGTTGTCCTATCATGTTCCGTGTCTCCGGGAGCTCAGGAACATGGCACGTGATGAAGTCCGACTCAGACAAAAGGATTTCAAGGGTTGGTACTTGGCGAGCAGTACCCAGTGCCATCAGGTTCACTACGTCGTAGAAAATAACAGACATGCCCATAGCCTCTGCTAGAACCGACAGTTGAGCGCCAATGTGACCATATCCGATTATGCCTAACAGGAACATTAGCCGACAGCAAATGATGGTAGAATCAAGAGAATACCAAGGGTCTTTCCGCGGATTTCCCAGCACTTGTTGCTCACTTTGTTCCATGTGCCGTTATGCATCTCATTGGAACGGTCACCCAGTTGACGGGCAAGAGCAATGATTTCAGCTATAACCAATTCTGCGACACTACGGGAATTGCTGAACGGTGAGTTGAAAACAGCAATTCCATGTTCAGCTGCATATTGCAGATCAACCTGGTTCGTCCCGATGCAGAAACAACCAATGACAATAAGATTCCGAGCTTCCTTTAGTACACGAGCGCTCAGCTTGGTCTTCGAGCGAATCCCAATCACGTGTACATCTCTGTTCACGGGGGAGGCAAGTCAGACAGATACTAGAGCTGAAGCAGATACGATGATACTGACCGAATTTTCTCGATGAGTTGATCTTCCGGAAGGGAGGATTTAAGGAATTCCACCTGATAGCCCTGTTTGGTAAGGATGTCCCTACCCGTTTGGTTGACGTTTTCCAGGAGCAGGACCTTGATATCCTCCGTGGCAAACGGCTTCAAATGCTTTGCATTTGCTAGCGGTATCGTACGGCTTCCAAAAGCCGAGCCACCATGGCTGGAAGGAGCAGACTGGAAAGAAGCGGTAGGAGAGGTGGAGAAATTCAAGCTTTGTGAAGGGTTGAGATTCAATCCCTCTTGGACATTGATGTCCCTTGCAGATGTAGCCATTTGGTAAGATTGGGTATAAGAAGACAGAGGGTGGAAGAGTATTCTGTTACGTTAGAAAATAGAAAATAGAGGGCACAAGAAGTAGTGGTATATCCGAAAAATATAATTTGAGTGAACAGTAAGACCTAAATTGACAAGGAAGGGGGTACTGAAATTTAAAACCTCCGGAACCGGACTTGAACAGAGGCGTTCCACATTCTTTGTGACTAACACCTCATCTGGCGTTATGATCTGTTTGAGTCATCGAAAGGCACAGCAATTGTTTGGCCAGTTACTTTTTGGAGGGGCAAGCAACAGCGGGGCCGAAACATCCCCTCTTGATCCGTATCCACACAAATATCTCATGATTTTTAACTATCGACTCTGTACTCCGTATACAATTTAACCTTGGACCATGAGAGGCGCCATATTGTGTAGAATAATTCTACGAGGCTAAGCGATTGGCCAAAAGATAATTTCATTGATTGTACCCTGTACTCTATATCATCCAACTATCATGGCACATGCAATAACAGTGGTCTTCTGACCCAGGTGACTGGGATCTCGCTTTTACCGCTTTCACTTTTTTTTTTCTTGGTTAATCGAGATGCTCACATAACAGTCATTGGCCCGCTAATTGATCTCGTCTAAAGTAACATTTGACTGGCCAGATTCAAACCTGAAGGCCCTCCAGTTTCTTCGCAGTCTCATCTGCACCGCTCACAGCCTTCGTAGTCTGCTTGGCTTTGTTTTTGTTGGAAGTACTATCTTTCGGCAGCTCTTTGGAATATGGGATAAATTCAGGAGCGCCCGGGATATACTTCCTCAGAGGCTCTGGCACAATAATACCCTATCACATTATCAGTATCAACAATCATCAGCAGGTGGGTTCAGAGTCATGACGTACATCATCTGTCTGGTAGTTTTCAAGCACACAACAGAGTGTACGTTCGGTTGCACACAGAGTCGCATTCAAGGCATGGACATAGGACTTCTTCACATCAGTAGCCTTCTTCGTGCCATAGCGAATCTCTAGGGCTCTGGATTGATAATCGGTACAGTTGGAGCAGGATACTAGCTCCTTGTACTCTCCTTGAAATGGAAACCACGCTTCAAGGTCATACTTCTTCGAGGCGGCATTGTTCAATGCCCCCGAAACAATGGCGACAACCTGGTACGGCAGGCCAAGAGACCGGTAGAACTCTTCCGAAGTGGCCATCATTTCGTCAAATGCTTGCCACGAGTCTTCCGGTTTCGTGAGAACAAATTGTTCGATCTGGGCTGAGTTAGCATTACAAGCAACATGGGTAACCTAGGGCTTATCACCTTCTCGAACTGGTGGACACGGAAGATTCCCCATGCATCCTTACCATGAGCACCTGCCTCTTTCCGGTAGCAAGTACTATATCCAGCGTACCTGCGTGCTAGTTAGCCTGAGGGAGAAGTTGACTAGAGATGCCGGGACCACCAACTTGATTGGGAGATCTTTATCTTGCAGCCATTCTCCGTCATGCAAGGCTGAAAGCGGTTGCTCTGAAGTAGCGATTAGGTACTTGTCGGTGGACTTGTCTTCACTTTCCGTGACTTTGTAGAGCTCCTCGTCGAACTGTTCAAGCTGGGCGGTCTTCGCCATCATGTCCTTGAGCATGAATTGAGGGGGTTGGTTAGGCTTGTAACCTTTACCCCAGAGGAATTCCAAGCCATAGTTTATGAGCGCGAGATTGAGGAAAAGCCCATAACCTGTCAAACAGTAGCCGCGGTGGCCAACCACTTTGACACCACGCTCTGAATCAAACCCATCGAGACGAGTAAGAACCTCATGGTGCGAAAGACAGTTGCGCTTCTCGACCTTCACATTGTCGGGCGCCCATGTCCTTATTACGGCATTGTCGTCCTAACGGCAGTCCTTTCGGTTAAATAAGTCTCTAGCGTCCGACTGAGTATAATACATACTTCATTGTTGCTCACGGGAACAGAATCATGAACAAGGTTGCCAATAGTCCGAATTTTGCCGTCTCTTTGCTTTTCCTTCTGGATAGCCAGTTCCTCGGCGTCCTTCTTGCGCCTCTCGAGGTCGGCTTTCTGTTCCATCAGGTCATTTGCGTCTTCCTTGTTCTGTTTCAAAGATCATGTCAGTTTTCTATCAAGCAATAGAGGATACGATAGATGGATTATATAAAAGTATGATTGGAATTATATGTAAAATAAATGCGAACCTTCTTTCTCTTGCCAATTTCTTTTTGGAGTGCATTAAGCTGGGAGTTTATTTGCATAACCTCATACCGTGCTATAAGATATCCGAAATCAGCCGTTTAGAATGTGAATATCTGTTATAAAGCAGACATAGCATACCACGCCGCGCCTCTTCATATAGGGAGAGGACCTCATCAACGACACTCTCCGGGGCGTAGCGTTTCCGTTGACTCTCTTTGATCTTGTTCGGATCGCCACCGCGATCACTGATGAAGTCTGCCAGATCAAGCATGATGAACGATTTTTTCTTGTACGATACAAAAATCCAGCGTCCCAAGATTCAACTAAGGAGGACAGAATAGCGGCGACAGTTGGCGGGGAGGACAGCTTGTCATAAGTAGGGAAGGAGGGGCTAGAGAACTCGGTTGGTGTATCATCAAATGGAGGGGCAGAAATTTAGGGGCTCGACCAATTGGGTATAGCATACTCCTACTAATGAAACTTAGTAGGCCGCTCTGCACAAACTGCATCTGTCGGCTGTCTCACCCTTCCTTTCTTATGGGACTTGATTTCAAACACAGCTCTCATGCCCTGGGAGATAAACTACTGTGTATGTATTAGATTATGTAACAGACAAAGACAGTACTTGAGAAATCGAGTGCCGAAAGAATCACAGCTGCGCCAGTGAAGAGCTGCAAAAAAACGTATCCCAGAAATACAACAACCTAGGCTAATCAACAGCTATGTTGCCTCTCCGAGAAACTGGAAGTGATATCCAAACGAGGCGTAGCCATTTTCGACCACCTAGGTCAATACCTATCCTGCTACATCATAGGCCTTATCACATTACGGCGCATTTGTTGCCTCCTGCCGGCTGTGATGGGTTTTGCGACTTTTCGATCTCCCCAATCATTAAGTCAAACGCTTTCGCAACATTATAGTCGAGACGAGCACTAGCCTCAGTAAATGCACAATGGAATTCTTCACAAAGCTGCCGGCCTTCATCTAGAGACACCTGGCGTTGCTCAGATTTGAGATCGCTTTTATTTCCGACAAGCACAAGGGGTACATGATCGGCACCCTTATTTCATGTCAGCTTCTAAGGTGGCTGCAAGGACCAAATTGGATACTCACAAGATGGTTCAAAATCTTGTCACGTATGACCCTCACCATGTCGAACGACTGACGTGAAGCCACCGAGTAGACAATAATATACCCATGTATTCCGATGAAATGCTTGGAGTTCAATATACTGTACTCGTCCTATAGCAGTATTAGCCACCCACGGGGCTCTAGGCTCAGGCCAAATTTTCTCCATACCTGACCAGCTGTGTCAACGATTTCAGTGGCATAATCTTGGCCGTTGTATTTGATGATTCGACTGAACGTGTTTTCGATCGTCGGATAGTAGCTTTCTACAAAATGATGTTCAACAAATCGAACTGTAAGAGAAGATTTACCTGGGAAATATTTTAGTAAACATGATGCGATCGAACAAGCAAAGGATTGTCAAAGAGATAGGAGGCCATACCCACAGAGCGACTGCCAACAATAGCTATTTTGCGCTGCTTCGGTGCACTAGGCATCTTCTAGAGTACGGAGCGGGAAAGTGGCTATAAAATATAAGGCGATTCTTGCGGAAGTTGGTCAATGAATTAGAGATTTTTGCGCACAAAGATATAGGCTTCTCGAGGTCATTAACAGGTATCTAAGCACGAACCCACGGTTTGTTAGAGGCCTCAGTGGTCAAACTTTGTCAATTGTGTAGCACCCTTATGATAGGGATGGCAATCAGATCACAGATGAGCTCACCCGGAAGTGGCGAATAGGCAATCCAGGAGCGCAAACAAGTCAAACGGCAACTAGAACAGAGCTAAGTACCAGAATCGTTATTACGTCAAAACAATATTTATATTTACAACTGGACCTCCACAGCAAACAATCTGGATGGCAATCTAACAGAAGAAGTACAATAAATACTGAAAAACATCCTTTTGACAAAGGAATGTTGTTACTTGTGTTTTTCCAGTCTTCCGTTGCAAGTAGCGATCATCAAAGGATAGGTGGGCAGGCCGCTCATAACGACCATTGCAAGAACAGGTCTTTATTGTTACAGTTTACATATGGAGTAACTACTGGGCTGGATGAAAGTCGAAATTGCATATAGATATCTCGGAGCTTTATTTATAGACGTGCTTTCTGGCGTATCTGATTCAGGACATCCTTCAAGCGCGTTGTTGATCTACCTCCACGTTCTCCCGAACTTTCAAAAAGCTGCGAGTCTTGCTCAACCTTCTGGTGAAACTTTAAGAATTCTTCTGCCGTCGATAAGACTAGTAGAAGACCTTCGCCACGAATTGAATCCCTGATTTGATTCAATGCCTCCTCGTTGAGACACAAGGTAGCCAAGACAATCGAGAGGTATCCAATCACAACATTATAATGCACTTCGGACACAGAGCGCGCCTTATCTGAATTAGCTCAATGTGTCCTCCAATTGAGAATGATATACTCTTACCTGATCAACAAATGCAAGCCCCGCGGAAAAGTGCTCGAGAAGTAACTGGAGTAGTGACGTAGAATCAGAAGCTGGATTAAGAAAAGCAGCTCGTGAGAGCTCGCTTTGTTCCGACAAGTTTATGAGCACACCCAAAGCTAAAATGTTGGCATTTAAAGATCCATGTTCATCCACATTGCGATTCATGGATGCACCAGACAACCCAGTAGTGGCAAGTTCCACAAAATCCGAGACCATGTCAGGAGTAGCAAACTCTTCGCATAGCGAAGGCACATTATTTGTAAGGTTGAGTATCACCCTGGCATATAAC